TGTAGGGGCTTTTATTTTGAAGGGTCCCAGGAGTCTTATTTTGAAAGTCCATCAGGGTTGCGTGTGAAGGGAAGGGTCATGGCCAGTAGTCATATTGTATCCACTTCCTAATGTTAAATCAGTGTTGTCTCCCTCCATTAGATTAAAATGTGCTGTTTAAAGTGGTGGAGGTAAAATCTCTTTGAAGCACGGTTACCTTGACAACGCTTAACGAGCCTGTCAGTGACAGAGAGACATGCGCTTCACTTTCGTTCCTTAGTTCTCAGTCTTTTTTGAATGGGATTATCAGCTCTGAACAAACGAGTGCTGAAGACAAACCGTAAATGGTATCTAAAAAATTCTTTCAGTCTAAGCGAGAGCTATCCTTTGTCTCCGTTTGGGGTAACTTTCATGGATGTAGCTCATTCACAACCTTAATGGGAAGGAGAAATATAAATGTTTGAGAAATCCTGCTGGTCTCATTGATTAACATGCAGCACAATGGTAGAGCAGAACTCTCAAAAGCAAAACTTTCCCTCCGAACAAACGAGCGGTGAACCAAAACCGTATTAGGTATTCAAAAAATTCTTTCACCGTGAGCGTCAGCCATCTTTGGACTACAACTGGTGTAATGTTCATATTTCTACAATATTTCGTCTAGGCGTGGTGACGATGTAAAAAAGTGTATAATTGTCAAAATCTCGATTTTGGTGTTCGGACAGATTTGTTACCCCCGAACAAACCTTTTTCCTAGCTAAACGATAAAAGATATCGACACAATTCCTTCAATGTGAGTGCTAGGAAGGTCTGAGGAACAACTTTAGCAAGGCTCATGTTGCTACGTCGAACGGTTCCCAAATGGGAGCGATACGAAAAAGTCTGTTGTTTTGAATTTTCAGTTCGGATTTTCAGAGAGCTCTCATTGGATTTCTATTGAGGAAGTGTGGACTTCTTCGTGGTCTGGGCCAAACTGTCGGAAAACCGTAAACGCCACACAAATGAGGGTTATATTTCCTGAATCCTGACAAAAATCCCTACGTTTTGATGTATAATTTATTTCAACTGAGTGAAAAATGAGGGACTGAGAACAATTTGTTCGGAAAAACCAGAACAGCTCAAAAGCTAGAGCACGCACTCTAGCAGTTGAAGAATTCCGTCCATAGACTTCCATTATAAATCTGAAAATCTTTAAAATTTCTTTTAAAGTTTGAATCTTCACTGAAGCAAAACTGTAAAAGTTAGCAAAAAGCTGAGATAGATAGTGTTAAAGAAAAATGATTATTTTAGTTTTTAAAACAGTTAATCTTATGGCGTGTGTAAAAGGTATGTTGAACACTTTCATTTTGACCATATTTCTGAATTTTGAACAAGGCTGTGTTAATGATTTAAAACTACTAATGGGTAAGTATTCAAAGCACAGGAGGCCTTAAAATGAGTATCTCCTGGGGGGTGAATAACAGTTGAGCCTCAGGGGAGAGGTCTCCTTGGGTTACAGAAGATCAAAGGTCTTCCAGAATAAACATCTGAGATGCTGTAATACTGAATAAAATGTAGAATGTTAAAACATTAACATTTAGTTTTTAAGACATTTTTCTAAGTATTAATATCATGTTTTTTAATTGAAAGTTGTACTATCTGTGTGAATATCAGAATCAAATTGAAATTGTTTGAATGAAAATGTTTTGTTTACTATTAGAAAATTGCTCAGGATATAGGTTTAATGGGGTAATTGAATATGTTAGATTGAATATTATGTTTTATATGTGAGAAAAAGGAATTGTATTTTATGTTCTGTTGATTCTATGTGGTTTAAGGCAGGATTCAATCTTTTGGGGTGGAATGGTGCAAAAGAGCAAGATTGAGCTGTGAAGATAACCTTTCCCTGAACCAAAATACTGAATTTAAGTTTGTTCTTGAAATTTATGGCAGGAAAGGGGCCCTCAACATTCCACATCGATTGTGTTAAACTTTATCTCATGACAGCCAGATGACCTTAGAATCTAGTGGGGGGCCCGGCCGTAAATTAGTTTTTCTGAGTGTCCAAAGTAGCTTCCAATTGGTCAAGCTGGACGACCTTATACTAAAGGGAAGGACTTATCTACATTATAAAATTTTGGGCACAGGGGCAAAAATTCAGATAGCTGCCACTTTTTTGCTTTTGCACCAGCTCTCTCCAAAGACGCGTCTTTGCCTCTCTTTTTCTATTTTTCTTTACCTCAGGTAACTGAATGTATGTTTCTGTTGTTCTGCAGTTTTGTTGTTAACTCATAAGCTGTTTTTTGTTGGATTAAATTCTGTGATTCTGTGACGTTCGCATATCTTGCTGGTTTTCCTTGGGGGCCACACGCAGCTCGCTGAGCGCACCTGGGAGAGGAAGAGAAACACCCAACCTTTTTCCAAAGTTAACTATTTAGAATATTTTCTTCCTTAACAATAGTAATAGCAGAAAGATACGGAAACATTTTAAAAGTTGAATGGTGTTTCTAGCTGAAAGTATGCTGAAGTAGTTAAAGGGCAAAGTAGCTGAAGATTCAGTGGAATTTTTGAAGTTTTACATGTATTTCAATGGGACAGAAAAAGTCATAAAAAGCTAAATATTTAAAAAAGTATAATAGCTGAAGTTATCACAAGATACAGCAGGATGGACCAGAAGAAGCTGAACGTTTTGATACCAAATTTGTTGAAATCGGCTGAAGTATGGTGAACTAGTTAGTCCCTAGAGTCTAATAGAAACAAACTGGTAGAGTTTGGGTCATAATGCTGAGCCATTTGCATCAATTAATACGCGAGTATAATATAGAGGCTTTTATTTTGTAGGGTCACCGGAGTCTTATTTTGAAAGTCTAGCAGTAGTGTGTTGAGAAAAGGGTCAGACCCAGCAGTGATACTTGATGACTTTCCAATCATTAAATCACTCTTTTCCCCTGTTATTAGGGCAGTAGATGAAGTGGCAATGGGAGGCTTTTATTTTGAAATTTGCTGTGGGGTGTGTTTTGAAAACCCCCCTAGAGTCTAATTTTAAAAAAGTGGTTGAGTTCAGATCATAATGTTGAGCCATATGCTGGGAAAAAAATATGAGTTTAATGTAGGGGCTTTTATTTTGAAGGGTCCCCGGAGTCTTATTTTGAAAGTCCATCAGGGTTGCGTGTGAAGGGAAGGGTCATGGCCAGTAGTCATATTGTATCCACTTCCTAATGTTAAATCAGTGTTGTCTCCCTCCATTAGATTAAAATGTGCTGTTTAAAGTGGTGGAGGTAAAATCTCTTTGAAGCACGGTTACCTTGACACCGCTTAACGAGCCTGTCAGTGACAGAGAGACATGAGAGAGAGTATGCTGAAGTAGTTAAAGGGCAAAGTAGCTGAAGATTCAGTGGAATTTTTGAAGTTTTACATGTATTTCAATGGGACAGAAAAAGTCATAAAAAGCTAAATATTTAAAAAAGTATAATAGCTGAAGTTATCACAAGATACAGCAGGATGGACCAGAAGAAGCTGAACGTTTTGATACCAAATTTGTTGAAATCGGCTGAAGTATGGGGAACTAGTTAGAGACGGAAAAACGTACGGAAAGTATAATAATAATAATAATAATAAAGAGAAACAGAAAAACAATAAGTGGGAATGCATAAGCATTCCCACTTGATTAAATTACAAAGTACCAGTAGTCTTTAAACTTCACTGTATTTGTGTGGATTTTTGAGACTTCCCTGACATGCCTCGATACACAGATGCATTTTTGTAAACAGGGGATGGTTTGCCACCAATCACAAAGCTCCCTTGTATAAGCCAATCACAAGAAAATACTCCACGTTGGATGACCCCCCAGGCCAGGTCAAGATCCGCAATCGCCAAACACCAAACAGGAAAAAGAACAGCGGGAAGATTTTTTTGCTTGTGTGAATCATGCTGGATCTTGTCTTGCACATGTATGAATCATATATGTGTATTTGTGAAAATTGAGACCATAGATCTAGATCCATACAAACAGAGCTCTGGTATTGGAAATGTACGGGGATCTGTAGCTATCTAAATTCAATTATTGGAGTCTGATTCGGAAGTGATCAGAGCATCCCTACTTATAACATCATAGTTAGTCGGCCATTTTAACTCAAGTCAACCAAAAATTTAAAAAAGCTTCCTTCCACAACAAAAGGTTTAGTGTGAGTGATTTTTTTGTTTGTTTTGTATCTTTTAGAAATAAAGATATAGGAAGCTATCAAAAAAAAAAAAAAAACTTCCTATAAAATGTCAAATCATGTCTGTTTGTCCTGGAAGAGAGGAAAACCTTTAGCAGATAACAGGAAGGCTGAACATATTCAAGAAATTTTATTTTATCTTTTAGGGTTTTTAATCTCCTTTTAAACCATATGGAGTTAAAGAAATCTCAGACGCTTTTTTGGAAATCTTAAGGTCAATGTAAGAATCTACTATCCGTTAATCTTAGACACAGAAACTATTGTTTTAATAATTCTAGCAACACAGCCAGAGCTAATTGCTAATATATGATTCTAAAGACATAGAACAATGTTAGAGTGAATCTCTTTGAAACATGCAGAGGAAAATTATCTAATTTTAAGGCAATTAATAACCTTACAGAGCAGTAAAGAGGAAAAAGGATTGTTGGATGGATGGATGGATTCTGATGCAGCAGAGTGTGGCCACATTTACAAAAGAAAAAACAGGGATAAAACTACACAGAAATCTGCAGCAGCAATTAGCATGAAAACTATTTTGTGTTTTTCTTTAATAAACGCAAAACTAGCTTGCAGCATGCAAATGAAATAATGAGTATAGTTAGCTTTGTATGGAACTCAATTGGGACCATAAAGTTTGTTAAAAAAAAAATTTTAAACCTGAAAAATAAGAAAGTCTTAAAGTAAAACTACTTTTCAGATTCTATTTTTTTGCAGACTTAGAATGCTGTACAAGTCAGATTAGCGTGGTTTATTCATGTAAGCTGCTTCTATTGGGGAAGCATTTTATTTTCTTAAAACCATTCGGACACACTACCTCCTCCTTACCTGACAGAGCTGGTCATGGCTCCCCCGCCCTCAGTGGCTCCCTGGGAGTCTGAGTGGTATCCATTGGGAATGGCCCAGCGTCCAGGCTGGCTCAGTACAAACTCCGACCTGCTCCCCGGGATGGTTGTCCTTAATGGACTCCCCCCCATGGCACCACCCGATCCAGCTGGACACACTGAGCTCGGCTCAGTCGTTTCATCACTATCCAGGGCATCTGGTCCAGCCTCAGCCCCTTCTTGTTCCTGAACGGTTTCCAACTCCAGCTCCAGGGGTTCAGGCCCCTGCAACAGCAACCTCTGTTGGATGAGCGGCGTCAGAGGTGCCTCGAAGCTGACGCAGCTGTCCGTCTCGTCAGTGAGTGACAGAACGTCCAGAGAGTCGAGGCTGCTGTAGCATGTGCCGCCCCTTAGCAATGCAGACTCCACAATTCGCTCAAACGTGGAGCTGAAGCCATCTTTGTTATCCACCACCTTGTTTTTCTCCTTTTCTTCTTCCTCAGACTCTCTCTCCTCTTCTTCGGGAACATCAACCTGCTCTACAATCTGCTCGAACGCTGAGCTGAAAGTGTCCTGGTTATCTGTTTCATCTCTCTGGGGCCCTTCCTCCTCTTCGTCGTCCTCCACCTCTGTGTCGGCCTGCTCTACAGTCGTCTCAAAGTTGGAGCTGAAAGTGTCCAAGTTTGGAAGTCCCTCCCTCTCTTCTCCATCCTCCTCGCCAACAGCATCTTCATCCTCGTTCTCACTCATACCATTTGCAAGTCTGTTAAAATGGGAAGAAAAGAACATTTGAAATTACCTTCACAGGATGTCTTATAGCCTAACACGCATTCAAACAAATGAACAGCTAAGATGGCTGTGATTAAGCAAAAATATCCTTTACTACATTTCCCTTGAATTAGCAACATGGTTAGTTATTTGAAAGAAACACTTACAGTTCTGGTCACAAGTTATAAATACCACAGCCTTAATTTTAGATTAATTTGAGCATTTAATAACAAATCTTCCCCGTTCTGATGCTCAGTTTGAACTGCAGCAGATTGTCTTGACATACGTAAATGCATTGAGTTCTGCCCTGAGATTGGCTGATTAGAAATTTGCATTAAGGAGCAGTTGGACAGGTGTACCTAATAAAGTGGCCGGTGAGTGTCTGTTGCATTTGAACAACAGTAACACAGTTAATTTGTATCCCTTTTACCTTAATGCCTAATGTTTGAGATCAGTTTTGAACAGTGAAATACAACATTAAGTCAGGTTATTTTTTCCATTATGTTAAATTTCAAAAGATGAGGAAGGAACCAGAAAAAGCTGATGAAAAGACGTAGGATGGGGATGCTCATTGTTCTTTATGGTGATGCAGTTTAAATCTGTACCATTACATGTTAGATATTTAGATATTCCTTATGAGATTTTGGTGATTGAAACAAAACACTGTGCAATTATATTAGACAAGTATACAGGCTGAGGAGGTGAGAAAGGGAGAAAATTGTAGAGGCAGAGCAGGAGGGAGCATCTTCCTGTGCAGGTGAGCGAAGTGAGGCAGAGGAGAGCAGTGGGGAGGAAGAGTGGGAAGAAAAAAATAAGCGCAAGGAATCTGGCCAGGACCTCAAATGGGTTACCGCACAGATCAATGTGAGAATGAAAACAATTGGAGGTGTAATTCTCCCCCCAGGGCAACCCACCACCAGGATTAAAAAAACATCCTGGACAAAACCCGGAAGTCGCTGACATTAAATTTACACCAGCTGTTTGTAACAGCTTAATTTATCCAAACACACAAAGAGAACAACCTTAATTACACCTGAAGTTAGTGGGGAAAAAACAAGAAAGACGACGGGAATGTTTAGAGAAGACTTACTGATATATACGAGATACTTAGAAGTAAATCAATTGTTATAAAGCAATCAGATGGCTTAAGATTGGATCTTAATCCAATCTAGGCTAATGATTTTCGAGGAAACTTCGCTGTGGACAATGTTTGCTGCAAAATAAACTCTTAAGATGTTTACTACAGTCTACATAATGAATGAAGTATGGATGCTTGTGTTCACTAACCGCTCCATTGGTTGAGGGGTAGTTGCTTCGTTCTTTGCAGATAGCTGAATATCTTCATTATTCTCTTCTTCTGTTTTGCTCGGATGATGCTCTTCTTCAGTGGAAGCTCCCCCCTCCTTATTTAACTCACCTTCTCCTCCCTGGTCTTTCCCCTCTGCCCTCCCCTCTCCTTCACTTTGTGCCAACTCTTCTCTTGCTATGGCCTCCTCCCTGTGGTCCCTCTCCACAGCCTCTGACCTGTCCTCAGCCTCCTCATTGTGGGTTCCTGTAGGTGGATCAGTCGTGGCTGTTGCTGCGTCAGGCCCCAACGTGTTCTCTGGTGCGGTGGGAGTGGGCAGGGCCTGCCCCTCCTGAGTCATGGTGCCTTTCTCAGAGTGGGGTGACGGTCCACTCTGGCTGGAGGTGAAGACCAGAGCTGCCACTCACCAACCAGGGAGGATGCTGGAACAAAAGAGAAATATTAGCTTTGTCTGTTTTCCCCCCCGATCCTTATTATATACAGGAAAAACATAAAATAGTGAATAATTATTGATATCGACTGGAATGAAAGGCTTACATGGCAAGACATTTTTCAGGCTGACATGAAATGGTTTCCAAACAATAAAATTCTCAAAATCTGTTATCCTCTAATGCCTAAATAGAAAAGTCTACTTTTCAGAAGTTACCCATGTCACAGAACCACTCAGCTGAAGTACCGGCACAATCAAATGTTTATGTTGTTGACTTTTTTTTAGGCCCATGCCTTGAACAGATTTGACTTCTGGAGCATCAGTGGGACATTACTGTAGCAGAAAAAAAAATATAGACAGCAGGCAGTAAAGGATTGTAGACAAAGAAAAAGTAGAAACCACACAGAGTCCGGGTAGCATAATCCTGCTGTGCATCGGTCGTCTGTTAACGTAGAGATTTTAGCTTTTACTGCTAGAACTTGAATGAGCAAGAATGAGCCTGGATTTAATTTCAATTCACATTAAATGTTGGCTTTAGTCAAATATCTTAATTTAAGAGCTTTATACTGAGCAGACAGGGTTACAGTCTGAAACTAGCTCCCCTCTCTACTTTGGGATAAAACCCTGCAGAATTCCTAGGTGGCAAGTTTCTCTATCGTACAACCTCTTTCTTATGCATCTGATTTATTTATTTTGCACTGCTCTGAACTTCCACATCAATGCCTTTTGGCACCATATCTCTCCCAAACTGTTTACATTTTGATCACTGCTGCACTTTAGGAATGGAAATGTTTTTTTCACTGCTAAGCTTCTGCTAATTCACTTTCGGAAAGTTGTATAAACGAAATTTCATGTTGTGTAAACTCTGTGTATACAAAATGACAATAAAGTTTGTCTAAGACTAAGTCTTTGTAAGTCACTTAGCAGAATCATATATTAGAAGCCTGGAAGATAGACGTGAGGAGAACATAACAAGGGAAGAATGATCTGAATCATGTAGTTCAGAACAAAGACAAACCATAAACAAAAACTCTAAAATACTATTGTTTACCTAGAATATATGTTACTCCGGCCAGGTTACACCATTTCAACTCATGATTTAAATGGAAGCGTTAGAAAGGATCTTAATTTCCATGAATATAGAAATGATTCCAAATACTAATCCTTTGTAAGAAAGTGTAAAAAGTGAAATAAGTGGTGAAGAGGTCGGCAGAGCATACCATCTCTAATAGATATTTGTTTTCCAGAGGGTTAACGCACTGCAGCCTGTAGAGGAAAACTGAAACAACCTGTATCATGGCACAATAATTAAAAGGAATGTGTTTATATTTGGTCCTGGAAAAAATAACTAGATGAATTTCGGAAGGTCTGGAGAAACTCCTTTCCTTGGAGACAAAAAAAAAAGAATAATTTGGATTATTTATACATAAACTACTGTCTCATCCACCCCTCGTAGTCCTGGGTGGGGTGAGTTGGCTCCTTCTTCTCCAGCTGGGGTGCTCTACCAGAGGCCTGGGAGCTTGATGATTCTTTTCAGTATCTTAGCCGTCTCTATGACTTCACATTTCTGGACTGAGATCTCTGATGTTTCTCCAGGTAACTGTTGGAGCAGCTTCTTCAGTGTTGGGTTTACTGCTCAGATTGCTCCTATGACCACAGCACCTAGTGTTGCCTTCATCTTCCAGGCTTCCTCTACAATTGTCTTCACCTTTTAGGTTCTCTCTAGTTGTTCCATGAGGCATTGGTATTTCTCATGTTCTTTTTTCCAAATGTGGTGGCCATGTTGATCACTACGGCTGCCCTCTGTTGCTTATGAGATGCTGGATTGTTTCTGGGGCCTCTTGCATATTCTGCACCTGCGATCTTGCCTGGTAGACCTGGGCCTCTATTGCTCTGGTGCTCACGGCCTGCTCTTGAGCTGCCACAATAAGTGCTTCTGTGCTGTCCGTCAGCCCAGCCCTTTCTAGCCATTGGTAGGATTTGATCATATCAATTACTCCAGCTATCTGTCAGGGGATTATCCCATGCAGGGTTTTTTCCTCCAATGATGGTTCCTCCAGTTCCTTCATTTCCAGCTTCCACTGAGACATTCATCCCTTTGGGCCATCTTCCTGATGTATTCTTGCAGCTTGGATGTTTCATCTTCAATGGTGGCTCTGATGTCTTTTGGGATGGAATCCACCATGTACAGTGAGAAGCTTTCCTGTTTTAACATCAGTGTCCTGAATTCCCACCTTAGGCCAACTTATTATTAACAAGTGTTGCATATTTGCAGTGGTGATGCAAGAGGAGAAAGTTTGCATTTCTACTCTTGGATCACTGGCAAGATCCTTAGATATACTCTGAGCAATTTGATCATTTCTTTTATATTGATATTATGCCTCTTTTTTATATGTGTCTTAGAATTTTCTTATGTTTATGCATTAAAGTCGTAGGGAAGTGGCTGTTCAAACTGTTGCATTTTTCCAAATCCTCCCGAGTGGTGCACAACTTTACACGAGTGAATATAGTAAATGTGATGGTCAATTATCAAGGGGGTGGAATTGTTGTGGTGGAAGGTTAGCAAGCAAGTTTGGTTGTAGCTGGTGTCTCAGAAGCATCGTTGCTAACCAGTTAGTAACTTAGTGCTAGTAGGTTCCCAATGGGAAATTCCATTGGGACCAAGTAGCCCTAAAATGGTGACCTAGAAACGACACTGTCAAGGAACGCTATGGACAGAGGAAACATGCAAGAGGAGGAGAGTTTAGTGTCGGAGGTCGTGGATGAGTCTCCTCCGTCATACATTTTTTATTTAGAGGAGGAAAGCGGGGACGAAGATGTTGTGGAAGAGGACGCCAGGGCGGCAGAAGCTTGGTTTGGTGTAGAAGGCTTACAGCCATACATGTTTGAGCCCTCGCCTCACAACGCTGCCAGTTCTGTTAGCTCTACGCCTGCTGAAGACACAGACGTCCATCCCCGTGAACACTGGGACGGAACTCAATGGGAAAGGAAATGATTCTTATTTCATATTTCAACCGTTGCGTATATTAGCTGTGACATATGAATCAAGATGCTATGACCAAAAAAATTTGATTGACGGATGACCGTTGATATATGATTGGCCGAATTTAGGTGTTCAGGCTGACCTATAACTAACTGGCCTGCATTAGATAACGAAAAAAAAAGATATTTAAAGACAGGATGTTTTTTTATATATATATAAATTTTCTAAATTTTGGGACAATATACGGTAGTCAAATAAAGAGTACATTTATATACATGTATAAGCCAGAATGATTTGACATCTAAATATGCCCTGAGATCTAATGATTACTATTCCATTTGCCCGCGCAGCACTAGGGAGGAAAGCCTTTAGCTATGCAGCTCCTTGTGTGTGGAATTTGTTTACAAAGAAACTGGAAGTTGACTGATTTTGTATCTTTAAATGCTTTTAAGTTGAAAGTGAAAGAATTTGAAGCAGCCTCAATGATATATAATTGATATGTTTTTTATGTACCTGTCATTTATTTTAATGTGGGAGGCCTCTTGGCCAAGACTCCCTTGAAAAAGAGGTTTTTAATCTCAATGGGATATTTTTCCCTGGTTAAATAAAAAAAAAATGATTTCCCTAAAACTTTAAGAACAAAATACATAAATAAATACATGTTTGAAAAAAGCATATTAGCTTTGGTATTATTGATATTAAACAAAGCATTATGATGTGAAAAATAAAAAGAAGTTCGGGGTTCTAATAAGTAGTTTTTATTTCTGTGATGATAAAGATTATGCATTGTCAGTCTAAGCTTTGAATAAACAGTGTGTCTGTTATTATGGCAGCTCTGTTGCAGGCTAAGGCTTAGCCATGAGGGAACTCAATCCGTCCGATTCAGAGTTTCATCTCTGCTGACTCATCTGAGGCGAGGGACTCATTGCACAACTGCAGTAAAATATTTACTGCCACTTCAAGCTCTTCTGGCGGCATGCAGATGTAGGTAAGAAGCTACTTAGGCAGAAATGAACTCCTTAATCTGCCATCAAATCCTGCAGATTCTCAAGAACTTTCTAGCATTTCTGAGTCCAAATAAGCAGACAGAAACGGCGCCGAGATACAGAGGCTGAGATGTGAACCGCTTTTGTTTCTCTGATGTTGCGATCGCTTTGAGCACAAGGAAGCTACTGTACAGGCTCGCTAAATGTTTCATCAGAGACGCTAAATGACGATGCAAATCATGCAGATGCTTGAAATAATTAAACACATCAGCCCGTCATTTTAAGCCTCCAGTTAAAACTGGAAGATTTTGCTTTCTCAGATGTCATGTTGCTATGGAAATGTCCAATGAAATGCAGGATAAATACACCACACTTATGAAAAGACAGATTTTGCTAATGTGTCCTCTGATCCTCTGATATCACTCTGGTCTCAAAGGACGCTCTGGCAGATTACTCAAAATTCTTCCGGAATCCATAATCAGCGATTAGCCTACTCGTTTTATTTATATATTTTGCAAACCAATGCTTTTAGCATATGCCATCTGCAGCATCATTTACTTTTAGTCATACTTTCCACTGCATGAAATCTTTCACTGCATTTTTCACATCGTGAGAAATGTTCCCTTCAGCAGAATGAGTCTAAAAGTGCCGCGGGCCTAAATCATTCATGGATTAGTATCCTCTGACTCTCTTCAAAAGCTGAATTAGTATGATCTCAGAATAATCCCAAACTCAGTGACTGTTCAAAATCTCCAACTTGGCTTCAGTTCAATGCATACTATGAAATACTATCATGCAAATATATGCAATTTGCATCCTTTCTGCATTTTTCTCAGGCAAGAATTTGCACATATTAATATGCAGTCAAATGAACTCGCAGATATGCAGAAATAGAACAGTGACACGTCGCCATAAATGGAAAGAGTGAGCAGTTATGAAACCAGACACGGTAAGTGGGAATTCTCTGTCTCTCTGCGTCTCCTGCGTCCTGTTTTCCTCCCACTCTGCCCTCTTCATCTGTTT